CTAGGTAGGTGTACCTGGCTCTTTAGGTTCATAGTTAGATTTGCTCTACTTAGTGCGTTGAGCAGTTTATTTAGTTACTTTTGCTTTATTCGTTTTGGAGGGGTTTTTTCTTTGGACTCTGAGCTTGGATTCTGGACGATTGTTTTCGCCTCAATTATATGTTCTTAGTTCTTTCTTTGTTTATCCCTTATTTTTCCTTGGGTATTGGTTTGTTCAATTACAAGCCAAAATACCTAAGGTTTTTCCAGACGAGTATAATTATGTGTAATGTGTGTGTGTGTGTGTGTGTGTGTGTGTCTGTGTGTGTGTGTGTGTGTGTGTGTGTGTGTGTGTGTGTATAATAATTATATAAATATAAGCAATATATAGTTGTGGTTGAATTTATTTCTATCTATAACTAATGCATTTGATAAATTGTTGTGTATAAGATGTCTTTTTTGCTCATAGACACGTTTTTTAAAACAATAATAATAATTCCTTTGACTTTAATCATATTGTTCTTTTACAGATATACTCTATCTTAAATTTTTATGGAAATATATATTCTGAATCCATTGCTATGTCAACTGCTAAGAAATTTGGTTCACTGTGTCGTGCGAGACAATTATTCTCTCCAGAATCTATTTTACATATCTATAAGTCTACCCTAAGTCCATGCTTAGAATATTGCTGTCACAGATGGTCCAGTGCCCCTCCTATTTACGTTGAGCTCCTTGATAAAATCCAAAGAAGAATCAGCAATATTATCGGTCCTGATCTGACAGCTCGGCCTCAGTCATTTTCCCACCGCTGTCTCTCTGTGTCTTTTCTATAAATACTTTCATGGTAATTGTTCAGATGAGCTCTTCGATATGGTACCTAGATTCTTTGTACTAGAATGTCATCGAGAGCTCATCAAATTACAGTTGAGCTGGCTAGATATAACCGCAGGTTCTATGCTAACAGTTTCTTTTCTCGCTACTTATCGCCTGTGAACGTCCGGCTCCATGCTTTCCAGCCAACTTTAATCTGCAAAAATTGAAATGCAATGTCAATCGCTGTTATCCTCCTGATTACTCTTTTCTGTTCCCGCTCATTATTAACGCTTCTGTTTCCTAATTTTTCCAAACCCAGTAAGTCCTTTTGTCTTAGTGGCTTTTCTGCCCTGCATGAAGCCGAAATATATATTATATATATATATATATATATATATATATATATATAAAAATTTGAACTCAAATAGTTGGTAACTTCTCAGAAATTATTTTGAGTATAGGTGGTATATTTGATGAACTTGTGTTCGGGAACTAGAATTCACAAGATTTAACAATGTTTTGAAAAAGGAGAATCTTGTGCAAAACGTATTAATATATACGTACTGCGAACAAAGAATAATTATACGATCTTCAAAGTGTATCGATGTTATATTAAATTTCCATTTACTATATAAGTTCAAATAATATATTTAACTTAACTTTCTCGTTTTTCTCCTTTCTATCTATAAATCAATGTTCATCCCTTAGTAATAGACAGCGGCTCGGATTGAGGAATCGGAGAGCCGAGTTCGAATTCCAGTCAAATCCATTACATTCACTTACGTGCTAATACCCTTAGGAAAGGTATGAAGCCTTTTCTTCTCCCCCACCAGCTATGGGTAAATAGCAGGACCGACCTGGTTCTATAGCCTTAGATGGCAACTGGTCTACCACAGAAAAAATGGCAACCTACTGCGGGAAAAAATCTGCCTCATCAGTCATCTATCAAAAGATACATGATGGCCTAAGCGTGTATCATGCATGGCACATAACTAACTATGCCTATAACTGATTTTTGATCCTAACACGAAAAGCCGCTGCCACTTTTTGTTACACTTTAAATCGTAAAGTAGGACCTTTCGAGAATTTTCTGTCATTCATACCTCCCAATTACTCAATGAAAAACAAATACTATACTTTCAACGCACTCATTAAAATCTCTCTTAAATCTTTTCATGCTGATGCAAAGTAAAAACAAACGGAAGAAAAGAAATAAAACTACTGAAAACTAATACGTGGTGAATTAACATTGTACTAGGCACATGGTTAAATAGACTGAGTGGGCTGCTGACAATTAACACATGTATAATTCAATCAGTTAAGTGCCATACGTGATACACGCTTGGGCGATCATATCTCTTTCGATTCATGACTAGGCACAAGCAGGCTGCCGTTTCTTTCTATGGAAGACTGGTTGCCAACCAAGGCTATAGGACCTAGTCTACCCTATTAATCAACCCATAGAAAGAAGGAAAACAGATGGACTCATACTTTTTCTAAATATTTGCGCGTAAGTGAATGTAACAAAACCAGACTGAAATTCGAACTCGGAACTGCCGAACCGTTATCCATTGTACCACATTATAAGTCTCATTCTCGTTTGCCTCCTCCTCTCTCTATGAATCTGGATCCATCGCACTACCGTCAATTCCACGACTTTATAACTGGATTTGGGTGTTTACATTATTATTATTATTATAATTTTTACAATACTGACTCATGACTTTCATTAGGAATTAAGTTTAAGTGAGTACTCTAAACTGTTACGTAATATTAGTCCTCCTATATGACAATGAATGCTGGAATTTTCCTTACAAATGAAGAAGAAACTTGAAACAACAGAAATGTGGTTCTACAGAAGGATGCTGAGAATACCATGTGAGAAAATAGAAATAAAAAGGTCACTTATACATACCACCAGAAAGAGATAGTTGAAATTTCTAGGGCATGTAATGAGGAAAGAGGCTTGGAAATTTTGATACGCAAAGGACAGATTGAAGGCAAGCGGGGCACGAGAAAACAATGCCCTAAGCCGATGGAGTAAATGAATGGTGGAACAAAACAAAATTTATTAAGAGCTACAAAGGAGAGGAAATTGTGGAGAAGCATGATCACCAATGTCCTGAAGGAACGCCGTAGTTAGAATAAGAAGTGAGAGCCCAATTCTCGTTTTCCAGCCTTTGTAGAATTCAAAATCGTATACGCGGCTCTGTAGAGGGAGGTGGTTCCCTTAAAATTCCAATTGTAAGGAGGAAGTAGACGAAGAGAATTTGGAATACTTAGTTTTCTTGAATTGTTGAGAGAAAATTCTTTGAAGTGCCGAAGTGGTTAGAAGCCGATAATTTATTGGCCTATAAGTTTGAAATGTCAAGCAACGTTGGTCGCTGGTCGCTGGTAATTAAAATGAAACATTTCACATGACTTTAGACACTCTTCTCTGATTAATTTAATTTCTCTCCTCAATTTATATCAAAATAAATTTCGCAAAGGCTCGCTACTTTCTTTTCTTTGTTCTCCTTGTCTAAGAACGACTAATTTATGTGAAGGCAAAGTTTTCATTGGCCTCAAAACAGTTTCACATGAGCTCGCGAATTTATTTCTTGCTTCTTTTCAGCTCACCGGTCAATTTCTGTGAGGGCAAGTTTTTCATTTGTCCAAAGAAAATTTCACATAGACTCGCGAATTCATTTCCTTCTTTTTCCTCGGTCCTCCGAATTTGAAGGGAGTGGGTAAGAAAGTTATTGCTATTTCGCACTCACTAAATACTAATCGCCGACTATACTAATCACGCTAATCATTACTCCACGCTGAAGAATTTATCAAATGTGTTATAACACCCTATGATATTTTTAATGTAGGGGATTCTACTTCAAAAAGCGAATTCAGTCTTACCGAATGCAATTGGTATATCCTTGATTGTACTGCACAAAGTGGACAATGATGTCCTTCTTTGTTTGAATTCATGTGATGGAAGGCAGAACAAGGCTATAAAAAGTAGATAGCTTTAATAAAGTCGATATTAATGGTTTGAATGCAACGTTTCTACCCTCTGCCAAGAGAAGCGAGTGTGAGAGAAATATTACTTGAGCTATGGCATAAATATGAAAGTCGCTATCAAAATACAAGTACCTTGAAATCGAAATCTCAGAAATGTAGCACACGGGTACATCAACAATCCCTATTGTAGTTGGAACCCTCGGATTAGTTGGAAAAGATTCCAGAAGACTCATTGAAGGGATCCTGGTAGCACATGCCTTAAAGAAATACAAAGAATTGTTTTCACGAGCACAGCCCACACCTTACGAAGGGCTTTATCTATGCAAAATATGTTTGTGTGTGTGTGCGTTTTCTTAATTGGTCAGTGGAAAATGTCATGATACCATTTCTAACCTTAGGTCTCTAGGCAGGACCCGGAAAGAAATGTGTACACACCAGACATCAAAGGAAATCAAATAATATAATAATGATAATAATGCCTGGTATACCTTTATTAAACAAGTTTTAATAAGTAGACAACACTTGATTTTAAGCAAAGTATAGAAAAGCTGTTAAACCTTTTACAAGAGTCTTTCAGATCATACGTTTCACATATGTTGTGCAGTGATCAAGAATAAAGGCAATTATTACAGATCAGGGTTATAGTGCATGATTGATATAGATTGATTGGTTTTTACAGTTTATCAACGATTTGCAAGTTATTTAAAGCCAGAAAATATTTTTTAGATTGTAAGATTTTTATTTAGATAATAATGATTTACTAATTAACCCATAACTGGGGGGAAATAGGTGGATTCATATTTAATCAGAATTTGATGAACAAACAAGAAATTATAATGTGGATATAAAAAGGGGGATCAATTCTAACACTATATGAACTGATCTTCCACTTTATGATCGCTGTAGTCTCTATATATTTATATTCCAGAGAATGTAAATAAATGTAAAAGTCATGTCATCAATATTTGATTGATTGATTCGTTTTCTATAGTTTAATAACCCTTTGCAGCCAAAAAAAATCTTTATTTTTTTAGATAATAGTGGTACAAGTTTTACGAATTAACCCAAAGCTGGGGGAAGAAAATATGGATTCATACCCTTCCCAAAGGTATTTACGCGTAGGTGAATACAATGAAGCTAATTGGAACTGAAACTCGGCTCTCCGATTAATAATTCTAAGCCATTATCCATTACACTCGTGCATCCAAGATTACATCAACTGGTATTCCAAAGCGGTCACCCATCCAGATACTGACCAGGCTTGATGTTGCTTAACTTCGGTGATTGTACGGGAACTAGTGTTTCAACTTGTGGCCGTAAGCCTTATAATACTGTTGATTTCCATGGAATAAACAAAGATTGCTTATTCTACGAAAATCAAACCTATTATTATAATAATAATAATAATAATAATAATAATAATAATAATAGAACATTAATAGATAAAACTCAAGAGAGCTTACTTTTCTATTTTTATGCTAAAGTTCAACCAATACGAGAATCACTCAAGATAGAGTCGGCTATTTTGAACTCCTATAAAATGGTTATGATGAATAAGGTGAGTGATAGGAATGAAACAGGAGATAGAAAGTGAAGATTATTAGAAAAAGGAGAATAGAAAATGATTTTAAGATATTGTAGAATAGGACTCAGAATACTGTCTGCTATTCCTTCATACTGTGATAATGAACTGTTCCTACATATAAATAAGTAACTAGGGTAGGATTTCAGTAGTATTTGATTTATTCAAGTATTTCCGTTCTATGTATGAGTATTTAATAAACATCTTCTTTGAGTCTATCCTCGACCAAATCTTCTGTTCCTTCGACACTCTAACTACGACCTGCCTATTTCTCAGCTATTTTGAAATCCTATTTAGGAGTATTTAATAAATCGCATCATCTTTGTCTCCTCTACTTAGTCGTCTGTTCCGTCAATACTCTTTCTAAATACAAACGGTCTAATTCTCGGCTATTTTGAACTCCTATGTATGAGTATTTACTAAAACTCTACTTCTCTGTCTCCTCTACCTAGTCGTCTGTTCCTTCGATACTCTCTTTCTCTAAATACAACCTTCCTAATTCTCGGCTATTTTGAACTCCTATATATGTGTATTTAATAAACCTCTACTTCTCTGTCTCCTCTACCTAGTCGTCTGTTCCGTCGATATTCTCTCTAAATACAACCTTTCTAATTCTCGGCTATTTTGAACAAAGACAACATTACAATAGAAGAGATTAATATTGTAGTGTTCTACGAAGCATCCACGAGGGTGTCTGTTCCACAAAGCAGCAGTTCTTGAGAAACAAATCTTGAGTAGAACTTTCTCCTTCCTTTAGAAATACGGGAGAAGTTATTTGACTCCATGGAAGTGGCATGACATATCCGAGCTGTAAAATCTCAACTGGTGAAATTAAAGAATGGTACTTATCTGAATATTTGCCATGGAAATAACGATAGATTAGTGCCGGTACGTCAACGAAGAAGAGTTTGCAGAGTGACGAATAAGTCTTCCCCATCAAAACTGCGTAAACGATTTTGAACTCTGTAAAGGCTGGAAAGTGAAGACTGAAAAATTCCTGCTCAGGCATAGCAGCAATACTCCATCTTGGTCGAATCTGAATCTTGTAAAAACAAGACATCGCAAAAGGAGTCAGGTACTTCTTGGATCAATAGAATTAACATAGCATTTTCCAGCAGCTTTAGACGTCGATTCGTCTCTACCCACCTTCCCTCTTTACTTTCATCCGCTTTTATTTTTATTTTCACTGACTAGATCTGATCAACTTGTCTTGATTGGGTTATCCGTTTGAACTTTGAAATTCTATATAATTTTACTTTTTCCTATATTATTATTATTATTTCCTTTGATTCCTGATTCAGAAATGGTATTATAACATTTTCAATTGAGCATTAAAAAAACTCTAAGTTTACACATATTTTACATAAATAAAGCCTTTCTTAAGGTATGAGCTGTACTTGTGAGTACAAGTTTTTGTATTTCCTTAAGGCTTAGGCTAGCAGGGATATTATTATTATTATTAATAGTAGTAGTAGTAGTAGTAGTAACTCATTGAGTTTAGTTTTTAAACTAATAGTAACTGATGTGGCTTGCTGACCGACACATTACGCCAAATGTCCTTCAAATACAGACAGTGTTATTAAATCGAAGAGTCCTAATTCTTTGCTATTCTTAAAATCGAAAAATAACCACCTAGACATATTGATAAATCAACCTTTGATGACATATTTATACAAAACACAATTTTTTGCCCCGTGGCCAACAATCAGTGATAGAAAATTGTACCGAACACTTTCATTCGATATTTAATCAAAAATTAAAAAATATATTTAATTCTTCGCTTCCGATCTTCATTTACTCACAACAAATTTTAACAACAGAAAGAAAGAAAATTCCGTCAATGTACCTGATTCAAGAAGCGTAAAATGTTTTGTTCTAAAAATTAATGGGTGACATATGTAAATTAGATGCGATGAAGATGATTTTTTTTTGGCATGAGAATAGAAAAAAGTAAAAAATTAATTGAATAAAGAGAAAAATATGTATGTGCTAGTAGGCGTTGATACTTCCATTGCACGTAGTTATCAGCTGTATTTTGATCTTAAATTTTCATTGTATAATGCTCAATTTATATCTATAGAATAAATGCAAGTGTGTCATTATCTCACACCTTTTCAATTAAAGGGACACAACTCTCTAACTTTCAATAGCTCATGTTACAGAAATTTTGTATTCCCAGGTTTCCATTACTGCGATTGTTTTGGGCGAATTTTACGTAATTTTTGGGGGACGAATTTTTTGTACAACAATTTTTATAACTTTGAAGTAAATTTGGGAATAATCAAAATTAATTGCGAAATTCAGCGAAAATCACCTATGAAATAAAAATAATTGCTTGTGCTGAAAGTAAAGACCTACGTACATCAATCTGTCTTTAAATTAAGTGGCAGCAGAATTATCGTTGATCTTTTAAAAGGTAAGCTTAAACATTAATGCAATACTTCAATGCAGCGATCAGTTTTTAGTTGTGTAGTTTATTATTGCCTAAAAGGTAAAGTGGAGGTGAAGGAGTAAGGATTATTTAGAGCAATACAGGAAATTGGGGAGAGCCATGATCGTCCATGTTTTCAAAAGATATGACAGATAAAGGGAGGGGAGAAAGAGAATGGTTCAGCCACAGAACAAGCGGTTTACTCCTTAGTAGGGAACTCTGCTTCCATCTTTCATGTCTACGCAAGTGCCTCAATAAGTTCCTAACATAATAAGGAAAAAACAGTTATTTTCAGTAACAAATATTTATTTTTCAGCATAATTTATTTCTTTGGCAATGCACTTAATCCACTGGTAAATATTAATAACTAGCTTAAAATCCATCTTATCGTGCAGCATTTAAGCAAGCTACTGCGGAGGGCACTTGATTGGGCCTTCGGCTTATTCAGAAGTTTGAGAGTACCTAAGTCCATGCATATTTTCAGCACTGGAAGCTGTACTAGCTGCTGTTTGATCTGAGTTTTCATTTGCATGGAACATTCTTTTCCTCGCTGCAGCATTGTCTCTTTTGAGTGTAATATGGTCCTCTGTTGGCGGAGATTTTTTTTTGCGTGGCATACTGCTGACTATCTTACTTATCAAACTGTTTGTCCGATGGAGTTCGTATTTATTAACACCTGGATTTTTTGGAAGCAACATGAAGATTGATTTACTGAAGTCGTCCGGTATTTCACCGCTGCCTTGTATTTCGCTTATCACTTCCATCGATCCCTAAATCTTCTCAGGCTGTCAACATCTCTATAACAACTTAATTTGATCCTGCTACCTTGTTCCTATTCATCTTGACTATTAGTGACCTAACTTCATACGGGGGCTTCTTTGCTTTTATGTAGAGCTTTTCTTTTTATATTGCGATTGTTCAGTCTTAAGATTTTATATATATGCTGTTTGTTTTCATTAGCTCGAGAATTTCACCTATCATACACTTTTTGTTCTTGTCTTTCCTCCTTCGGAATAAATTCTTTTGCTGTTTTCACTAGTGTTTCCTTTAAATCATTCCATTTTGAGCATGTTTCATATTTGTTTTTAATTGTGACTATATGTTTGTTTGCAAAATGAATCACTGCAGTTTAAGCATTACTTTGATCTTTAATTTTGTAGTTTCACTCTTAGTTTGCATATGACTGGACGTGTTCAACCCCCCACCACCACACACACACACGCACACACAGTTCGTGGTTGGGTATGTTTTACAGTACAAAACGGAATTTCTAAATCTTTTGTTTGTAACTAAGTAACCTATCAGTTTTTTGTTTTTTTTCCCTGTTAGGCTTTTCCAAGTACACACGCCTCTTTGGTGTTTTTTTAAACCATTCATTCGCTATTGCTTGTTCATTCGCTGGGTACCAATGAACCCGTTTTTCTCCATCTACGTTACAGGATTCAAGTTTATATTTACCTTGTTCCCTTCGAAAGATTGCGTTTAGATTGCCTAATTTCAAGCGATTTGCTCTAATATTTGGCATTTACTTGTGCGCTGTAAATATTATCTATTCCTATTTAGGTGTTCGCTGATATGCGTTTATATACACTATGATCGCCATGTTGATTGTCTTGCCTTTCCTTTTCACAAAAAGAAACCAGCTTGACAGTTGTCACCACTCCACAAAAACACTTCCTATTGTCTTCATCTCATATCAGTCTGGCTCCTCCTTCATTTTCTTATATTGCATATATGATCGTGTTATGGTCGCTTATAAAATCCTCATTGATTTTTCTGTTGTACATTTTACATCTTTCCAGTACTAGTGTGGTGTCCTAATATTCTATGTCCCGATTAAGATTTTATCTTGATTGCAGAGTCGCTGGATGACGGTCAGGCGACACCTGTCGTACGTGTCTCTCCTTAACCGGTCGAGGAATCATTTATAAGAGAGATTACCTTAGTCACGCTGTTATTTGATATTTGAGGGGTTATAAATTGACATGATTATTCTTTAGAGGAAGAACAGATATTTTTCTTCCGTATTCGGGATATCATAACGTTCTCTCCATTTTTCCTGTTTATATTTCTAAATGTCTCTCTCTCTCTCATTCCTTATCAGATTGATCTTTTCTCTCTATTCCTCACTCCTCACTCCTCTCCCTCTTTCTCTTTCTCTCTCTCTCTCTCTATCTATCGATCTATCTATCTGTCTCTTTCTTGTTTTCTTCTTTTTCTTGTTTCTTTTTCTGCTTTCTCCAAAGAATTTCTGTTTTCCATTTAATCCACTGTTACATCACCTTTTTACGATCC